CGCCCTGGCGGCTCCGCGCGGTGGCGGCCGTTCGGCGGGCCGCCGCGTGGCGGCGGCCCCCGCGGCCGTGGTCGCGGCCCGGGCGTGGCCGTGGTCGTGGCGGTGCCGGGGCTGTCCCGTGCCCGCTCTGCTCCGGCGCGGGCCCTTCGGCCGCTTCGTGCTTTCGCCGGTCCGCTGGCGCTCCGGGGCCGCGCGCGCCTGTTGCGTCTCCTGTGGCTGCTGCGGCTTCGGTTCGCCTCCGCCCTGGTTTCCCGCCCTGGTGCGTCGCCCCCTGCCCCCCCGCTCCGTCTTTGCTGTCCTCGCCGGTCTCTTCTCCCGGTCCGGCTCCTCTTCGTGTTGGTGCCGGTCCGTGTTTCCCTCTTGTTGGTCCTGGTTCGTCTTCGGTCGCCTCTTCTCCCCCCCTGTTTCGGTTGTCTGCTGTTCTTTTTGTTCCTGGGCTTTCTGCGTCTTTCTTCTCTGTGCCCCGGTTTGCCCGTGCTCCTCCTGTCTTCTTTGCCTTTCCCCCTGCTTGTTTCTTTGTGCCGGCTCGTTCCCCCCGGGCCGTTCTGTCTCGCGGGCCGGCTTCGGGGGGTCTCTCTTCTTGGCCTGTTTCTCGTTCGCGTCCCGCTGCGTTCGTGGCTTCGCGTGTCTCCTCTGCCGTTTGGCCTGGTCGGTTGGGTCCCCCTCCTCCTCGTGTCTTGCGGCCGCTTTTGCCTTCGTGTTCCCTTGCTTCTCGTTTTCGTCCTCGTTTCGGTGTCGTGTCGTGCTTGTCTGCTTGGGCCCTCCTCTCGGTTTCCCTTGCCTCGTGTCCCTCCTCCTCCGTCGCCTGTTTTCGCGCTTCTTTCTCCTGCTCTTTGGGGCCCCGCGCCTTTTCTTTCTGTCCCTGGTTTTCGTTCTTTTGTTTTGTTTGTTGCTGCCTCCCCCCGCTCTGTCTGGTTTTCTCCTCTGCGCTTCCCCCCTGCTGTGTCTGCTCTCTTCGCGCCGTTTCGGTCCCTCGTTGCGCGTTCCTCTGGTCGTCCGCTTGTCTCTCTCCCCTCTGCTTTCGGGGGCGCGTCTCCCCGGTTGCCCCGTCCTTTTGTCTCTTTGGGTCTCCCTCCTCGGCCTCTTGTGCCTCTCCCCCTGCGCCGCCTGGTCGCGTTGCGCGTCGGCCTCGTCCCGTTGTGGCCCGGGTCTGGCTCTCTTGGCTCCGGCTTCGGTTCCCCCGCGCTCTTGGGCTTCTGCCTTTGCGCCTGCGGTCTCTCTCCTCCCTCCCTGCCTCCTCGCGTTCTCGCCCTGTCCGTCCTCCTTCTCGTTTGCCTCCTTCTCCTCCTTCTTCTTCCTTCTTGCGTGTGTTTGGCTGTCTCTGTTCTCCTCTGTTGCGCCCGTCCCCTCGTCCCCCGTTGCCGTCTCGGTCCTCCCGTGTGTGTTTCTTGGTTCTCCGTCTTCGTTTCGTGGCTCTCGTTGTTTCGCTCCTGCTCCTCCCCCGGTCTTCCTTTGTCGTCCTGTCCGGTTTGCTGCGCCCGTCTCTCCGTTTGCTTCTTCTCTGCCTTCTCCGGTCTCTCGCTCTCGCCCGGTTGCGCCGTGGGGTGTTGGTGCCGTTCGGGTTGGTGTTGGCTCCGCTGTTTGTCCCCCTGGCCCTGCTCCTCCTCCGGCGTTGGCCGCGGCTTCCGGGGCTGCCGCCGCTGGTTCCGCTTCTCGCCCCGTGCCTGCTCCGGCTCCGGCCGGGGCGGTCTCGGGTGCTCCTCCTGCGCCCCGCGCGGCCGCCGTCCGGCGCCGCCTGTTCCGCCTCGGTCTCCTGTCCTGGCCCCCGTTCTCCGGCCCGCCGCCGCCTGTGGCTCTTCTGCCTGTTCCTGCCCCGCCTTGTTCTTCTCCGGCCGTTCGGTCTCCGGCGTGGCGTGCGGCCCTGGCTCTTGCGTTTCCTGCCTTGCTCCCGCCTCCCCCTTGGCGTCTGGTTCGTCGTCCCCCCTGGCCTGCCTGTTGTGGGGTGCCCCTGGGTGTTCCGCCCGCCGCGCCCGGCCGCTGGCCCGCTTGCGCGGCCCCCGGCTCGCTTGGTCGCTCCGGGTTTCCCTCCCGTCGCTGGGCCCGCCTTTTTTGCGCCTTTCCGTCCTGTTGTCCCCCCCCCCCCGTGCGGCTTCTTCTCTCCTTTCGCCGTTTCTCGCGGTTGGGTCCTTCGGCCGTTGGCTGTTCCCCCCGCCTTCCTCCCTGGTCCTCTTGCCGCGCCCGTTTCCCTGCGCCCGCCGCCCGGTTCTGCCGCCCCGTCCCGGCCGGCTGCTGTGTGTTTGTTCCCGCGGTCCCTCTCTGGTCTTCCGCCGGCTCCTCGCGCGTGGTTCCCTCGGTTGCCTGCTTTCTTGGTGTCGGTTGGTTTTTCCCCCTCCCCGCCTGCTGTTTCTTTCTTCCTCTCTCCTCGTGCCTCTCTTTGTTTCTCTTTGCTTGTCTCTGTTGCTGCTCTCCTTGTTCTGGGGTCTGCTGCTTCGTGTGTTCCTCGGCTTCTTCCTGCCTTCGCCTCGGCGTTTCCGCTTCGTGCCCTGGGTGCTCCGTCTTTTTTTCTTGGCCTTGCGCCGGTCTCCCCGGCTGGTGGTTTGTTTCTTTCTCCGCCGCGCTCCCTGCGCGCTCTTTTGCGCCGTGCCGGTCTGGTGGCCTGTCCCCCGTTGGCTCCTCCGGTTCCTGTGTCCCGCCCTTCTTCTGCTTCTGTGGTTCCTCTGCGGCTCCCCCGCCGTCTCGCCGTCTTGCTGGGGCTCTCCCGTCTCTTCCTGTTCCTCGTCCGGCTCTCTCTTTTGCCGTGCCTCGGGTCTGTCCGCCTCTGCCCTCTCCCCCCCCTGCGCCTTGGGCTCTGCTCCCGCGTGTTCTGCGGTCTGTCCCGGCCCTCTGCCCTTTGGTCTTTTTCTTCGTCCTTCCTCCTCTGTTGCGGTTCCTGCCTTTTCGGCTTCGGCCTGGGCTGGTGCTCCCGCTGCCCGGCCGTCTCCTCGTGGTTTTGCGGTTTTTCTTGGTGGCCCTCTGCTTTCCTGGTCTTGTCGGCCGCCCCGCCCGGTTGCTCGTTCGTCTCCCGCGGCTGCCTCCCCGGCTCTGGCTGCTGTGTCTGCGGCGGTCCCCTGGTTGGTTTCTCTGTTGCCCGCGCTTGGCGTGTCCTTGGCTGCTCCTCCCCCTCTCTGGTGTGCTCCTTTGGGTGCGCCTTCTCTCTGTTCCCCCCCGGTGTTCCCTGCTCGTCCGCCGCCTGTGGCCCTTGCTTCCCCTTTGTTCGTGCCCCCGTGGCGCCGCCGGCGTTGCCGGTTCGCTTCCTTTCCCCCCGGCTCCGCTCGCTGCTGTGTTCCCTCCCGCTCTCCCTGGTCCGCGTTCTTCTCCTCTCTGTGGCCCGCTCTCCTGTTGTTGCCTCGTCCCCCTTGTCACTTGCGGGGGCGTCTTCGGCTCTCTCCTCTTCGTGTTCGTTTCCCTCTCTCTTCTCGTCCTTCGTTTCGTTCCCTCTTCTTCTTCGTCTTCGTCTTGTCCTCGGTTTCCTCTTCCCTCCTCTCTCTCTCCTGTCCCGCCTCCTTCTTCTTCCTTCCGCTCTCTCGTCTCCCTCCTTTTTCGCGTCCCCTCTTTGACGTCCCCGCTTCCTCGTACCCTCTCTTCCTGCTTCTTATTCCTTACCGCTTCTGCCTCTATGCCTTTATCCGAACGAGACAACTTACTCCTAGGCATAAAACATCTATTATCCTTTCCGCTGTCGCTCCCTTTACCTGGCCTCCTCTTTCTTCGCCTTCATTTTTCCTCTCCTTCTTCTCTTTCTTCCCTCTCTTTTCCTTGGTTATGGGCGTCCGCTTCCTTCCTTCTTTTTTCCTTTTTTCACTCTTCTTCTTCCTTGTTTCGGCGGGCCCATTGTATCCGGCCGCTTTCTTTTTCTTCTTCCTCTCCCCTCTCGCCTTCCCTCTCAGCTTCCTCTCGCCTCTCGCTCTCCTTCACTTCGTTTTTTTTTCTCTACTTACTCTTTGCCCCCTCATCTTTCCCGCCTCTTCCTATACTTCAATCTTCTTCCTTCCTCCGGCGTCCTTCTGGCCCTTCACCTCATTCCGATCCCCCCATCCCTCGCCGCTTTTGCCCTCTCCCCTGCGCCCTTGCGGCCTGGCCTTCCTCCCTGTCCCCCCTGGCACCCAGCATGACCACATTCTCTCCCTCCTCCGTCTCACTTCCCCGTCCGCTTCCATTCCCTCCTCCTCCCCGGCCCCGCCCTCCGCCGCCTTTCTCCTCCTCTTCCCCTTGAGTGTTTTCTACCGGCGCTTCCTAGACATACATCTGCTTGTCGTGTCTACTTCCCCTCGCGCCCCTTACCCCTGCCCCTTCTCCTCCTGCCCCGCCAGCCGTATCGTCCCCTTTATCTCCGTGTGTGCCTTTCCCTTCTTGGCCGCCCTGCCGTCTCGCCCCTGCCGCGCGCGCTTCGGCAGGCGTCCGCCCTAGGCCCCCTCTTCCATTTCCCCGGGCCCGCGTCGGCCCTCACTCTCCCGCGCGTTCCGCCGCGCCTAGCCTTTCCTCCTGCTCCTGCCGCTTCCTCGCCGCCCCCGCCCTCCCTCTCTGCCCTGGCCTTGGCGTCCCTGCTCGCCACTCTTCCGGCTCCCTCCTACCTCTTAGGCCTCTGCTCTGCCTCGCTTTTCGGCTGCCCCCCGTCTTCCCTTTGGCCCCCCCACCATGCCCCGTCTTGTCTCTCCATCCCAACTCCCCCCTCCTTGGCTGCTCCCCCGGATCCCGTTCCTTTTCCAGCCCCCCCCTCCCCTGCCTGCTCCTGCTGCCGACCCGCTCGTGGGCCCCCTGGCTGCCCTCTCCTGCCTTCTCCTTTGAGTAGTCTCCCTCTTGTCTTTTCGGTGCCCCCTCTGCGCCTTACTCCCTTTGTCCCTGCTTATCTGCCCGCCCGTGTCATTTCTTTCTTTACGGTCTTGCCACTCCTCCTTCTTCATCTTGATCTCCTATGTCCTTCATCCTCCTTGCCTTACTCTGCGTTCTCTTACTTCCTCTCCTCCTTCTTCGATCTTCCTCCCTTTCCCTCTTTCTTTTCCTTTGCCTTCCGCCCCTCGGTCTTTCTTCCAGTCCTTGCCCCTCCCGTCTACACCCTTTCTTCCATTGCCTCCCCCCAGTTTTGAGCGGGCCCCATGCCCTCGGCGGCTTTTAGCCTTTTTCATCTTCATTCTTCATTGTTCTTGTTCTTGTTCTTAGTTCTTGTTCTGTGGTTCTGTTCTTCTTCTTCTTCTTCCTTCTTACTTCTTCTTGTCTTGTCTTGTTCTTTTCTTCTTGTTCATTCTTGTTCTTTCTTCTTGTTCTTCTTGTTCTTTCTTGTTCTTTTCTTGTTCTTACTTTGTTCTTCTTCTTCTTCTTCTTCTTCTTCTTCTTCTTCTTCTTCTTCTTCTTCTTCTTCTTCTCTGCCCCTTCGGGCCTTTTCCCTGTCCTGCTCCTTTTTTCCCCTCTCTTTTTCCCCCCGTTGCTCTCCTTCGCTGGTCCCTTCGCTCCTCTCCTCCGCTCCCGCTCCCCGCTCCCTGCTGCTTGTCCCCCCGGCCCTTGCGCGGTCGTTCTCCCTTCCCTTTGTTGTGTGCTTTGCCTCCTCTCTTTGTCCCCCTCCCTCCCGTCGTTCCTCTGCTTGGCTTTCTTCCTTCTCTTTTTTTCCTTTTTTCCTGGTCTTCCTCCCTCCTTGGTCCCTCCCTCTCTCGCCTTCTTTTGTCTTCTCCCTTTGCTCTTTCCTTCCCCCTCGTGCCCCCCCCGCTCCTCGCCCCTGTCGTGCCTCTCCTCCCTTGCTGCCTTTGCCTGTCCCGCCTTTTTCCCTTGGCGCCCTCTCCCGCCCCTCTCCCTCCTCCCTTCTTTCTCTTCCTTCCTTTCTTGCTCCTGCCTCCTTTTTTTTTCCTCCCGCCCTTGTCGGGCCCCTGTCGCGCCTCTCCTCCCTTGCTGCCTTTGCCTGTCCCGCCTTTTTCTCTTGGCGCCCCCTCCCGCCCCTCTCCCTCCTGCCCTTCTTTCTCTTCTTTCCTTTCTTGCTCCTGCCTCCTTTTTTTTTTGCCTCCCGCCTTGTCGCCCCCTCCTTCTCCCTTCCCGCCCTGCCTCTGTCTTCTTTTTTGTTGTCGCTCCTCCCTTCTTCTTTTCCTTTCCTCCGCGTCCCCTCGCGTCCTCCTTCTGCCCCCTTTGCTTGGGCTGCGGTTCGCCCCTCCGCCCTTTCTTCTTGCCCTCCCTGCGTCCGTTCCCGGTGCCCTCCCCGCCCTTCCCGGCCCCGCTCCTCTTTCCCGGCCCCGTTCCCGGCTCCTCCTCTTCCTTCCGGCTCCCTTCGGCCCTCTTCCGGCCCCTTCCCCTCTGCTCCCTCTGCGCCCTTCCTTTGCTTCCCCCTTTGCCCTCTTTTTCTGCTCCTCTGCGCCCTTCTTTGCTTCCCCCCTTGCCCGCCCTTTTTCTCCCCCTTCTCGGCTCTCCTCTCTTGGGCTCTTCTTCCTGTCCTCGTTTTTTCCGCGCATTGCGCGCTTGGGCTCCTGCCCACTGTTTTTTTTTTTTCCCTCACGTCCCCCTGTTTTTTTTTTTCCCTCCGTCCTTTCCCGTCTCTTCCGGCCCGCTTCTCTTGCCCTTGTTCCTGCCTCGCTCCTTGCCGGTTGCCTTTGCGTCTTTCCCTCGGTCCTTCTTCTCCCCCGGTTGCGTCCCCCCCCCCCGGGCCCCCCCCCTCCGCCCCGCCCGCGCCTTGTGGGCCGTTGTCCCTCCCGGTGCCTCCCTGGTTCCGCCGCCCGGCCCCCCTGCCGGTGCGCCCCGGCCTCTGCCCCCTTTGGCCCTCCTTCCCGCCCTGCCGCCGCCGCGGTTCCCCCTTGGTCTCTTCTCCCCCCTCCTGCCCCCTCCCCCCTTGCGCTCCGCCCGTGCGGGTTCCCTCGGTCCTTCTCCGTTTCCCCCTGCCCGCTCCTCTCGTCCCGCTTGCTTCTCCTTGTCCCTCCCCTCCTTGTCTCGGTCTGGTTGCCCCCCCTCCGGGCCCTCCGGGCGCCCCCCTCCCCTTCGGGCCTCCCCTCTTCCCTCTCTCCTCCTCTTGTTTGCGGCGCTTTCGCCCTTCGGCTTTGTGGTTCCGTTCTCTTCCGCCTTTCCTCTTCGCCTTCGCTTCCTGGTGTCGTTCTCCTTCTCTCTTCGCCGTTCCTCTTCGCCTTCGCCTCCCGGTGCCTTCCCGGTCTTTCCCGGCCCCGTTCCCTGGCTCCTCCTCTCCTTCCGGCTCCCTTCGCCCCCTTTCCCCCCCCCTTCCCCCTGCCCCCTTTGCCCCCTTCCTTTGCTTTCCTCCTTTGGCGGTCCTTTTTTCTCCCCCCTGTTCCTCCTTCCCTCCCTTCGTTGGTCCCCTCCGCTCCTCTCCTCCGCTCCCTGCTGCTTGTCCCCCCGGCCCTTGCCCGGTCGTTCTCCCTTCCCTTTGTTGTGTGCTTTGCCTCCTCTCTTTGTCCCCCCCTCTCTCCCGTCGTTCCTCTGGTTGGCTTTCTTCCTTCTCTCTTTTTTTCCTTTTTTCCTGGTCTTCCTCCCCTCCTTGGTCCCTCCCTCTCTCGCCTTCTTTTGTCTTCTCCCTTTGCTCTTTCCTTCGCCCCTCGTGCCCCCCCCCGCTCCTCGCCCTGTCGTGCCTCTCCTCCCTTGCTGCCTTTGCCTGTCCCCCTTTTTCCCTTTGCGCCCCTCCCGCCCCTCTCCCTCCTGCCCCTCTTTCTCTTCCTTCCTTTCTTGCTCCTGCCTCCTTTTTTTTCCCTGCCTTCCGCCCTTGTCCGGCCCCTGTCGCGCCTCTCCTCCCTTCCTCCCTTTGCCTCTCCCGCCTTTTTCTCTTGTCGCCCCCTCCCGCCCCTCTCCCTCCTCCCTTCTTTCTCTTCTTTCCTTTCTTGCTCCTGCCTCCTTTTTTTTTTGCCTCCCGGCCTTGTGGCCCCCTCCTTCTCCCTTCCCGCCCTGCCTCTCTCTCCTTTTTTGTTGTCGCTCCTCCCTTCTTCTTTCTCTCCTTTCCTCCGCGTCCCCTCGCGTCCTCCTTCTGCCCCCTTTGCTTGGGCTGCGGTTCGCCCCTCCGCCCTTTTTTTTTTTTTTTTCTTGCCCTCCCTGCGTCCGTTCCCGGTGCCCTCCCGGCCCTTCTTCCCCTTTTCCCGGCCTTCGTCCCGGTGTGTGGGTCTTTTCGGCCCTTTTCGTGTCCCTTTCCCTCTTCTCCCTCTTTTCCTCCCTCTGCGCCCCTTCTGCCTGGCCATCACATCTCTTGGGGCTCTTATTCGTCTCAGTCCTCTCATCTCTCTCTCTCTCTCTCTCCTTCTCTCTCTCTCTCTCTCTCTCTCTCTCTCTCTCTCTCTCTCTCTCTCTATTCGCCGTTCGATTTCTTGCATTCTGCTATCCCTTTTTTTTGCCTCCCGCCCTTGTCGCGCCCCCTGTCGTGCCTCTCCTCCTTCTGCTTTGCCTGTCCCCCTTTTCTCCCTTGGCGCCCCCTCCCGCCTCTCCCCTCCTGCCCTTTTTCTTCTTTCCTTTCTTCCTCTCCTTTTTTTTTTAGCTCCCGGCCTTTGTCGCGCCCTCCTTTCTCCCTTCCCGCCCGCTATGTCTTCTTTTTTTGTTGTCGCCTCCTCCTCTCGCCCTTCTTTCTCATCTCCTCTCTCCTTCTCTCTCCGTCCTGCCTCTCGCGCCGCCCGCGACGTTCGGCTCTCCTGGGTCGCCCCTGGCGTCCTCCGCTTTCCTCACTGCCTGTTCCTCCCTGCCTGGCTCCGCTTGCTTCCCCGCTTGCTCCGCTTTCCCTTTTCCCCTCCCTTTCCTCCCCTCCCCCCCCCCCCGTTCCTCCTTCCGTTCCCCTTTTCCGCCTTGCCGTTCGTTCCCCGTTCCCTTCCTCCTTGCTTTCCCTCCCCCCGGTCTTCGGTTCGCCCCTCCTCCCCCTCCCCGTTGGCCTCCTTCGTCCTCTCTTTTCCTCTTCTTCCCTTCTCTCCCTCCTCCTTTCGTCGTTCCCCCCCCCTCCTCCCTCTGCCTTTCTTTCCTTTCGCCTTCTGTGTCCCCCCTGTCTTTCTTCCCCCCCCCTTCTTCCTTCTCCCTCCCTTCCCTCCGCCCTCCTTTTCTTCGTTCTCTTGTCTTTCTTTTTCTTCCCTCTCCCCTTCTTTCTCTTCCCCTTTCTTCCTTGCTTCTCTTCGCTCCCTTGTCCTTCCCCTGTCTTTCTTCCGTGCCCCCCCTTCTTCCTTCTCCCTCCTTCCTTCCCCGCCCTCTTTTCCTTCGTTCTCTTGTCTTTCTTTTTCTCCCCTGTCCCCTTTTTCCCTTCCCCTTCCTCCCTTGCTTCTCTTCCCTCCCTTCTCTCTTCTCTTTTTTGTGCCCTCTTTTTCTCCTTCCCTCTCCCCGTTCTCCTCCCCTCCTGCTCTCTCTTTCTTTCCCCCGTCTTTTCTTCCTCCCCTGCCCCCTTCCCCCCTCTCCTTCCTCCCGCCCCCCTCTTCCTCCTTGCGCGCTTTTGTGCCCCCGCGCGTCTTCCCCTCCCCCCCCCCTTGCCGTGCGCCTCCCTCGCCCTGTCCTTGTTTGCCCCTCCGCCGTTCGCGGTTCGCGTTCGCGGCTTCTCCTCGCGGCTTTGCCCCGCGCCTTTCTTTCCTTCTTCCCCTTGGGTCGCCCCCTGCCCGCCCCCTTCTTCCCTCCCCTGCCTGGTTCCTCTTGTTCCGGTTTTCCTTTTTTTCTTTTCCGCTTTTCTCCTTTCTCCTTCCTTCTCTGCTTCTCCCTTTCCCTTTTTCCGTTCCTTCCCCGTTCGTCTCCTTCTCCTCTTCCCGTCTCCTCTCGCCTTCTCCCTCCCCCTTCCTCTCCTTCTCCTCTTCCCGTCTTCCTCGCCCTTCCCCCCCCTCCTCCTGTCGGCCTCTCCTCCCCCCTCTTCGTCTCTCTTTCCTCTTTTCTGCCCTCCTTTTTCTTTGTTCTCCCTTCTGTCCCGTCTTTGGTTTCCCCCTCCCTCTCCCCTTCTTTTCTTGCCCCTTCTCCTCCCTCTTGCCTCTCTTCTCTTGCCTTTGTCCCCTTCGCCTTCCCTCTTTCCCCCGCCCGGGCTTCGCTCCCTGGTTTCGTGGGTCGTCTTTGGGCGCCGCGCCCCCGGTTTGCCCCTCGGCGGCGGCCGTGCGGGCCTTCTGTCCCCCGTGGGCCGCTTCCTTGTGCGTCTCCGCCTTTGGCCCTGTCTGCTGCCCCCTTGCGTCCCCGTGCTTTCCCCCTTCCCCCCCTGCTCTGTCGGGTCGGCGTGTGGGGGCCCTTGGGGTTGGGGCCTCCCCCTTTGGGCGCCGCCTTCCCTCTTTCCCTCCGCCCCTTCCCCCTTCCATTCTCTCTGCCTGCCCCTCTCACTCTTGGCCTTCCTCTCCTGACTTCCCCTCTTCTTTCCCCCCCCCCCTTGGGCCTTCTCCCCCTCGCGCCCTGCGCGTCCCCCTCGTCTCCTCCTCCGCGCCCCCGCGCGTTCGGCCTCTCCTGGGTCGCCCCCCTGGCGGCCCCGCTTTTCCTACCACTGATTTTCCTCCCCTGCCTGGCTCCGCTTGCTTCCCGCTTGCTCCGCTTTCCCTTTCCCCCTCCCCTTTCCTCCCCTCCCCCCCCCCGTTCCTCCTTCCGTTCCCCTTTTCCGCCTTGCCGTTCGTTCCCCGTTCCCTTCCTCCTTGCTTTTCCCTCCCCCCCCCCCCGGTCTTCGGTTTCGCCCCTCCTCCCCCTCCCCGTTGGCCTCCTTCGTCCTCTCTTTTCCTCTTCTTCCCTTCTCTCCTCCTCCTTTCGTCGCTCCCCCCCCCTTCTCGCTCTGCCTTTCTTTCCTTTCGCCTTCTGTGTCCCCCTGCCTTTCTTCCCCCCCCCCTTCTTCCTTCTCCCTCCTTCCCTCCGCGCCCTCCTTGTCTTCGTTCTCTTGTCTTTCTTTTTCTCCCCTCTCCCCTTCTTTCTCTTCCCCTTTCTTCCTTGCTTCTCTTCGCTCCTTGTCCTTCCCCTGTCTTCCTTCCGTGCCCCCCCTTCTTCCTTCTCCTCCCTTCCTTCCGCGCCCTCTTTTCCTTCGTTCTCTTGTCTTTCTTTTCTCCCCTGTCCCCTTTTTCCCTTCCCCTTCCTCCCTTGCTTCTCTTCCCTCCCTTGTCTCTTCTCTTTTTTGTGCCCTCTTTTTCTCCTTCCCTCTCCCCGTTCTCCTCCCCCCTCCTGCTCTCTCTTTCTTTCCCCCGTCTTTTCTTCCTCCCCTGCCCCCCTTCCCCCTCTCTCCTTCCTCCGCCCCCCTCTTCCCTCCTTGCGCGCTTTTGTGCCCCCGCGCGTCTTCCCCTCCCCCCCCCCTTGCCGTGCGCCCTCCCTTGCCCTGTCCTTGTTTGCCCTCCGCCGTTCGCGGCTTCTCTTCGCGGCTTTGCCCCCCGCCTTTCTTTCCTTCTTCCCCTTGGGTCGCCCCCTGCCCGCCCCCTTCTTCCCTCCCCTGCCTGGTTCCCCTTGTTCCGGTTTTCCTTTTTTTTTCCCGTTTTTCTCCTTTCTCCTTCCTTCTCTGCTTCTCCCTTTCCCTTTTTCCGTTCCCTCCCGTTCCTTCCCCGTTCGTCTCCTTCTCCTCTTCCCGTCTCCTCTCGCCTTCTCCTTCCCCCCTTCCTCTCCTTCTCCTCTTCCCGTCTTCCTCGCCCTTCCCCCCCCTCCTCCTGTCGCCCTCTCCTCCCCCCTCTTCGTCTCTCTTTCCTCTTTTCTGCCCTCCTTTTTCTTTGTTCTCCCTTCTGTCCCGTCTTTGGTTTCCCCCCTCCCTCTCCCCTTCTTTTCTTGCCCCTTCTCCTCCCTCTTGCCTCTCTTCTCTTGCCTTTGTCCCCTTCGCCTTCCCTCTTTCCCCCGCCCGGGCTTCGCTCCCTGGTTTCGTGGGCCGTCTTTGGGCGCCGCGCCCCCGGTTTGCCCCTCGGCGCGCGGCCGTGCGGGCCTTCTGTCCCCCGTGGGCCGCTTCCTTGTTCGCCCCGGCCTTTGGTCCTGTCTGCTGCCCCCTTGCGTCCCCGTGCTTTCCCCCTTCCTCCCCTGCTCTGTCGGGGTCCGCGTGTGGGGGGCCCTTGGGGTCGGGGCCTCCCCCTTTGGGCGCCGCCTTCCCTCTTTCCCTCCGCCCCTTCCCCCTTCCCTTCTCTCTGCCTGCCCCCTTTCATTCCCTCTCCTCTTGCCCTTCCTCTCCTTCGTCCTTCTTTCCCCCCCCCCCCCCCCTTGGGCCTATCTCCCCATCGGCGCCTCGCCGTCCCCCTCGTCGTCCTCCTCTGCGCGCCCCCGCGCGTTCGCCTCTCCTGGGCCCTGCCTGGCTCCGCTTGCTCCGCTTTTCCTTTTTTCCTTCCGCTTTCCTCCTTTCTCCTTCCTGCCTCTGCTTCTCCGTTCCCTTTTCCGTTCCCTCTTCTCTTTTCCGTTCCTTTCTGTTCGTTCCCCGTTCCCTTCCTCCTTGCTTTCCCTCCGCCCGGTCTTCGGTTCGCCCCTCCTCCCCCTCCCCGTTGGCCTCCTTCGTCCTCTCTTTTCCTCTTCTTCCCTTCCCTCCTCCTTTCGTCGCTCCCCCCCCCTCCTCCCTCTGCCTTTCTTTCCTTTCGCCTTCTGTGTCTCCCCTGTCTTTCTTCCCCCCCTTCTTCCTTCTCCCTCCCTTCCCTCCGCGCCCTCCTTTCCTTCGTTCTCTTGTCTTTCTTTTTCTCCCCTCTCCCCTTCTTTCCCTTCCCCTTCCTCCCTTGCTTCTCTTCGCTCCCTTGTCCCTCCCCTGTCTTTCTTCCCCCCCTTCTTCCTTCTCCCTCCCTTCCTTCCGCGCCCTCCTTTTCTTCGTTCTCTTGTCTTTCTCTTTCTCCCCTGTCCCCTTCTTTCCCTTCCCCTTCCTCCCTTGCTTCTCTTCCCTCCCTTGTCTCTTCTCTTTTTTGTGCCCTCTTTTTTCCTTCCCTCTCCCCGTTCTCCTCCCCCTCCTGCTCTCTCTTTCTTTCCCCCGTCTTTTCTTCCTCCCCTGCCCCCTTCCCCCCTCTCCTTCCTCCCGCCCTCCTCTTCCCTCCTTGCGGGCTTTGTTGCCCCCGCGCGTCTTCCCCTCCCCCCCCCTTGCCGTGCGCCCTCCCTCGCCCTGTCCTTGTTTGCCCCTCCGCCGTTCGCGGTTCGCGTTCGCGGCTTCTCTTCGCGCTTTGCCCCGCGCCTTCTCTCCCCG